GAGAGAGAGAGAGAGAGAGAGAGAGAGAGAGAGAGAGAGAGAGAGAGAAATCAGTATGTATTAGTGAAATGTTTCAGGCCTTTCAAGGTATTTCTCATCTACGAAAATTGTGAGTCGACAGCAAAACGGGGGAGGAAAACAGCGGCACTCAGAGAGGATGAGGATCCAGCAGTTTAGGTGAGATGGGTGATGTGTATGGATGAGGCCATGATGGAGAGAGCGAGAGAAGAGGGAGGAGGGAGATGTTTACGGGGGGGGGGGGGGGGGGGGGGGTAGCGAGGCCAGTAAACTGCTTGTGAAATGAAAATGGCTCTTTAGCAGAATCCAGGACACTTGGGCGCTGCGCTGGATCAATGTCTCTGATTTACTGTCTGAAAGCCTGTCAGAGGGAAAGAGAGGCATGGGGGGGGGGGGGAGGGGGCCGGGGGGGGGGGGGGGGGGGGGGGGGGGCCAGACAGAAAGAAGTTAGAGCCGAGAGGTAGAAGAGTCCTTTAATGAAAGAAGAAAGAGGAGAGACAAGGCGCGGTAAGGTTGGAGAGGGAAATTGTCCATCAGGGTGACAGTGCAAGGAGGCCAAATCAGAGGGATTGCTCCTCAAGTCCTCACGGCTCCGATACAAAATCAATCTGTCAAGGCAATGGGGAAGGGCAATCTTGTTTTGTGCAGGGAATTGGTGCAGCCATTTGGGGTAAAATCAATAGGGGACACATGGCGCTTCTTAAATCCTTACTGTCCCACAGAGGCCAGCCGTATTGACTAACAGGGGAGCGTACACAAATCTTTAACTTGACCTGTCTGAGAGAAATCTGTATTCCGCTGGCGGCCAAAGCAGAAGGTGGCGATTTCTCCCGTGAACGCAGGAAATACATCTAAATGATGAAAAGACGACTTTGAGGGAGAACAAACTGTCTATGTATGTATCAGACCTGCTGACAATTATTTCATCAACTGCAGATTATGTCTCCATTTACCGTTTAGTCCGAAAGTTTTCGTTTGATATAAAATATCAAACTCTATACAGCCACGATAGCAGCTCTGTGAGGCTGTAGGCACAGCAGCAGTGCTTTGAGCTCAATGCTAACGCCAGCATGCTAAAATTGAAAATGCTAACATGATGATGTTGAGCAGGCTATTTTTATTTAATTCATGTTTGGTATTTCTGCATTTTTTAAATCACAAACGATTTAACGAATCTCAAAATAGTTGATTAATTCATTTTTTGGCAATCAGTTAATTGTGGGAGATCTATTTATCTATGTATTCCTCTCTCTCTCTCTCGTTCTCCATCTATGTGTCTATCTATATATATTTTTTCTATCTACAGATTCGTTAACTGTTTAGTTAGTGATTTGTCATTGAGAGTTTGTGACAATCTGTATGCGTTTGCTTGTGTTTGCCCCAGATGACATGAGTGCGTAGGCGAAGGGAGGAGTGTGTTCCTTTGAGTATCTCTACGGCTGAGTCAGTGTGACACACACACATACACACACACACATACAGGTGGAGCTCTTGGGCCCAGGACGACAGGCCGGACGTCTCGACAAGAGTGTTTTCCCGCACCCTCGGGACACAGCAGTCGGGACACAGGGTGGGGGGAGTATTTTATTTTTATTTTGAGTGTTTAATGTATTAAAAGGGGCCGGGGTAATGAATTATAATCTTTAATGCAGAAACCGATCGATACCACCAAGAGAATAAATCAGCTTTTACTGAGAGCGTCAAAGCCCCTTAATACACTAGGGGAGAGAAAGGGAGTGCCTGAGGGAGGAGGCGCAGAGAGGGGAGCAGCAGGGACAAACTGGTAGGAGAGGAGGAACGATCCAGAACCGAGCAGAGAGGGAGGAGGATGATGAAATAGAAGAGAGAGGGGGGGTAGTGTGGAGGAAGTCATGGAGGGATAGATGGAGGCACAGCAAGGGAAGTTATTTGATGAACAGACTCACCTTTGGGTCAACCTCATTGAGTAAAAGCCTGGTGAAAGCATGGAGATTTTGACAGTTTTGTGAGGAGGCGATGTTGCTGGGTCAGCCGGTGTGTGCACACAAACCACTCCACTTGTTATTTTTCCACCTAGTTGTATTATGTTCCCTCTCAATGATCCCCTCCCTGACTTCTGTTGCCTGCAGCAAAATATAATTAATTGAATTACACCACAAACCTCCGATCAAAGATCACCAAGACGCTCTCTTGTCTCGGTGCCTCTGCTGGGAGAAAATGTCAAACAACAATCCATGAATTAGAACCCAAAGGGAAGTTTCTGTGGTGTGCACGGATTTTAAATCAGCCAGACTGCAGAAACGAGCCCGAGAAGAGTAAAAAAAAAACATTGATTTGGATTCAGTTAACAGTTGCACAGATGCATCTCAGTGGGAAGCACCAAGACGAAACAGAACTCTGATGCACCTCTCAGTATATAGGATGCCTAGCCTGTTCAGCTAGTGGACTAAGTGGTTGAAGCGAGGTTTTTGGAGGCTTTTAAGAAAGATCATTAAAATTTGATGGAAGCAAAGTGGGGGTTTCTGGCACAACTTTGGCTACTCCCAAGGTGCAATGAGGGGAAAAAGTCTGAAGTGGTCAAAACTCCAGCAACACTTGTAGAATATAGAACAACTTCACTGTTAAGAACAACACATTTCAGCTTGTGGACCTGATGAAGGCCTTGTACTAAACAATAGTTATTCTCTATACTACATGTGTTAATGGAGTTTTGATGAAATGTGAGAGCTTAAGCAAGGACTGTTGGTAAATGGGTTGAGGGGGGTGATGAGGGAAGATATACACACATCCGCAAACAAGTCTTTTTTGACAGCAACCTCTCCTTCAAGCACCTTGTCAATCAAATCACCAGGAGAGCCTTTTTCCGCCTAAAACACAACTCGTTTCCGCCCATCGCTCTCCTTCTCTTTCATCCTCTTCCAACAGCGTTCTTTATGGCACATCATCCAAAGTCCTGAATAAAAGTTCTCCTCCTCACTCACAAAGCCCTCCATAATCAGGCCCTGTCCACCACCAGACTCCTTCAGACAGCCTCCATCCCTCTAATGCCAACCTCCTGTCTCCACCACTCAGGACCAAGCACTGGACCTGGAGCGACAGAGACTTCTCCGTAGTTTCCTCCCCCCAAACACATCCGAGACTAAACCAATCTGTCCACATTCAAACCCCAAATATGAACTCACTTTTTTAGAACTGCTTTCAATGTGTGATTAATGTTGCGTTATTATGTTGTTTTTTTATGATCAGTTTTACTAATGTAAAGTGTTTGAGTTCCATGAAAAGCACTCTCTAAATTATTATCATTATTAAACATGGGCCGCAGAGGTGGAGACAGTTTTCTTGGTTAGAAGAAAGAAAGAGTGACCTTGATTGAGAAAGGGAAAAGTATAGAGAGAGAGAGAGAGAGAGAGAGAGAGAGAGAGAGAGAGAGAGAGACTTTACAAAAGGAGGAAGGCAAAAATCATTGAAAAGGAGGGTTGAGAAAGTGATGATCGCTGATCGTGTCACACCCCTCAGGTGCTCAATAATTAAGCAGCTGAGCGGACTCTTGAGATCCAACCATGATGTCAACCAAGGCAACCATCCATCATGCGTCCCTTTAGGAATCACAGGTGGCACTTAATCACTAATTTTGTGCTGTCTCCCTCTCTCTTTTTCCTCTAAGGCTTTTTTTGACTGATTTTGTGTTGCTGCTGCTTGTTATGCTTTCAGGGACAAACAAACCCTTCCTTTTAAAAAAACAAAAATACTGGTTTATTTCAGCGAGACATCCTGTTGAAAAAAATAAGGGTCCAATTGCAAATTAATTGCATTACTGTTTTTATTCATCCTCCTCAAAATGCCCCTATTTAACAATGTACTGATAATGTGGGTGGGTCAAAAAATTCGAAAAAATAACGAGCACTCTCGCTGTGTGCGTAACCACAAGGCTAGCTCATTGAGAATGTAAAGCCTTAAGGCCTTTGCACACCGGGGACATGACGAATAAACGACACGGAAATGCAAATTACTCGGCTGCAAATATTTTACCTCAAAACTATTGGAATAAATTCGCTCAGGCAGAATATCAACTACTGGGGTCCTTATGACTCAGAGCAGCATCTGTCAGTCTGTCTGCGGTGAATTGTTGTTTAGCCTAAGCTACTGTAAGGCAAGCCAATAACTTTCACACATTCACGGCGCTCTGTCGCGCCGAGAGTGTGGTGCTCTGAATAACCGAATGCTACCTTCCAGCAGGACTCTGGATTTACTAACAGGCCCAGTTTGTGCTCTGAGTGACGATATAGAAACGCACCAACAGTGTATCTGAGTGTCGTCTTTGAATATGCCCATTCTGCACAAAAGATTGGTTGATGCCAAAATAAGCCTCTTTTTTTGCAGCGTAGTAATCGCGTTCGTGTGTTAAAGTACTCGTGACAAAAAAAATACATTGACATAAAAACAATGCCCCCCCCCCCCCCCCCCCCCAGTGTGTAAAGACCTTTAACCTTCACTTTTTGTCTGTGGGCGCCGTCTGCCTGTGTGCCTGAAGGCGTGTGATTGTTGCATTGCACTCATAATAAGCCTCAGAGTGACTGGCAGAACCAATATCTTGCTATCGCTTCGCCCTGCGCTCACTCAGGCGGCTCGGTGTGCAGCCCCACGTCATGCATCTCAATTCCACAAACACAATGTTCGGAGCCGAGAGAACGGGCCTGCTTTTTTGATTAATGTCACCATGACAACTACATAATTCATGAATTGTATTAGCGACCCATTTGTCATTTGCAAATCATAATTCAAAGATGTGTGTTTGGGGAGGGCTGGCTTTACAGACGGAGCTACGGCCTGTCGCTATCCTTAGTGTTGTCTTCTGCACTCACACACGCTCCAAAAACAACCCCTACCGGAAACACTGACGTAACCTCGCCCTAATCTGGGAGTCAGGAGCTCTTTAGAAGCTGCCCGTCTTATACGAGGGCCCTTTAGCTTCATGATGAACTCTCAGGTCTGCTCATTTGGAAAGCTGCATGCTAATTCCCCTCCTCTTCATCTGTCTGTCTGTCTGTTGGCAGAGGTCTGGCCGGCTCTACACTGACACCATTTGGTGCGACAGTGTAAGGAGTTGGCGAGGATTCTCATTAAAGCGCTAGTGCAGATAATTTGCCATTAGATCAATGACTTGATTTTTACAGGAACCCTAAAATGAAATGGGATTTATAGCCATATGTGAGCCAGATGGAGGGGTTTCTCCATGTTCATCCTGCTGTGCACAGATCAGATCTTGGGGTTACAAGGAGCTTCATCATAGATTTATTTATTTCTCTTCTTGCATAATTCTGACTCTGAGCGATCAAACTGGACTGCAGATGACTTAATCACTTAGTTCTTTACTTTAGTAATTATTGTGGCATCTTTATTGGGTGTGTCAGTGCTAATATTCAATACTTTTATCAGTATCTAATAGCTTCTCCTTTTTACCTTGAAGAATATCCTACAAAATATGTGAGACTTTCAGTTAACCAACTTACAGAGGTGGTGATCAGGACCAAAAAACGTTGTTTTTGTTAATCCTATGAAGGTTTATGGAAGACAAGATGAAGCACTTCTAGCACTGAACTTTCAAACAGAAATACATGGTGTAATAAAATCTACTTTGATATTCCTGGTGTCTTCACTAAGCATCTGTATTTTAGCGGGCCCACACACACTGCACAGATGGTGCGTGGGTCTGTATGTAGAGTACGGAGCCCTGACACTAAAAAAAACGTAGTAAAAGGTCAGAAATATAGCCGAAAGCATCAATAAATAATATTGTAAGTCAATAATTAACATGGAGTGTAAAAAGGAATATAAAAGTATGGCAGCTATGGTTGGGTTTTGGCACAAAAACAACTTAGTTATGGGAAAGATCCTGATGTGGCTAAAATGTATATTCTGTTAGGGGATGATTGTTCATAGGCTAGTTAAAATAAACTTATGCTGACTTTTGGTAGGAAATAGGAAGCAAACAGCAGTTTGAAAACAGGGAACAGATAACGACAACATTTGTGGCAAAACCAAAGAAAAGTCAATCTAAGTAAAAGATAAATAAAGTGAAAAAATTAAGTTTTCATGTAATTTATCAACTGATTTGTTGTAAAGAAAAAATATATATTTTAAGTGATGTATTCAGTTTTATTTTTGACTAATAACGTTTTATATATATACAGTGTAGGAGAAAGATGGTTCACAACTAACTACACTAACTATTGCCAAAAGGATGTATTCATCCATGTAGGCTATTAAAAATACATTAGAAGGATCTCGTATCTAAAATAGTCAGACATATCAAAAGCTGCATCAAAACATTTTGCCAGGAGTGCATAAAAATATCTGTTTTTTTAATTGAGAGTCGACTGCTCTGTCTCAGGTCGTCGTGGTGTCGTCACTGGAGTGTTGATTGTCTGGAAGGCAGAGAAGATCAGTCTAACTGGCGCATACATGTTTTATTATAAATAATATTTATATTGTTATAATATATTGTTAATTTAAAATTCAATCTAAAAAATCTCAGCATTTTCTTACTTATTTAGCTACTGTCGTCCTTTAAAGGAACACCTGATTAAATGGCGTGTTATGGTGGCCAGTACAGACATGGACATGCATCCTCCTCATCCCACTTTCTCCACCTCACCTCTTCATCCCCTTCGACACTCTCCTGACTGCTCAACAGTGCGTCTGCTGTCTGGGGTGTATTGGCTTCGCGTCTTTGTCCCTCCCAGAGGACAGCGGAGTTGTTCTGGCTGGAGCACAGCCGCAGGCGGGGTGGTGTTTTGTGGTCACCAGGACTGAAGGATTGGGAGACTCCAGAACCTGCTCTTGCCAACCCAAGCCCCCCCCAGCCGTGACGGGATCCCAGCTTACGACGCCCGCGCATGGCTGGAGTCCCGGGAGCCGAGATGTCCAGCTCTGTCTGGGAGGGAGCTTTTCTCATGTGAGAGGGAGAGACTGGAGCACTGCGGGGGTCTGAAACAACATGAAATCAATTCAAAGTTAATATTACTTAAATTCCATGTGCATACAAATGCCATGGTAGTAATGTTAACATTTTGACATCAGTAAATTATTGGCTCCTTCATGCTGAGATAATATAATCAATGATGGTTTTCAACATTTGTCTCCAGTGATAAATGCTTCGCTGTGTGCCACCAGGTGGGACAAATCTGCTGACGGCTTTAAAGCACAAACCAGGAAGGTACTTTACTTTTTCCTCCAATACAAATGCAGTTCCAGGGACGATGAAAGATGCCGAAATGAATTAGGGATATAAATGAATTGTGGCTCAGGTGGTAGAGCTTGTCCGTCACTAATCGCAAGATTAGTTATTCGATTCCTGACCCCTCCTGTCCACATGTCGTAGTGTCCTTGAGCAACACATTAGATCCAGAAAATGTGCTCCTGATGGCCCGGCAGCCCTGCCAACCATCATTCTGTGAGTGTGTGAATGTGATGTAGAAAAGCACTGTTTAGTTAATAAGTGCTCATTTGTAAACCCCTTGTTTAGCAATTCTAAGTTGTATGCAAACAATAAAGGGTACATGCTTTCAAAAGTACATGAATGTAGTTTCGTCAAGCACATATGCTGAGTTTCTATCCATGCATTTGTCAACTGCAATTCCTCCTGGGATGCATCACAAAAAATGCACGCTATAAATGTAATCGCACGTACGGATATGTTTGAATGGCAGCAACCTAACCTTCTTTTTCTGAGACAATATGGCATTTCAAATAATAATTATACTGATGATGCTCAAATTTAAATTGGTAAAAATGCTACTTTCAAAATGTGCCACCATATAATGGTCTAACTTGGTAATCAGTGCTGTTTAAACTGTAGTAAGTAGTTCAAATGCATACATCTTTTAATTAAGTACATTTTTCTAGAGAATTTAAAACACAGTTAACTAAACAGCTTAACATGGATAGAACCCTGATCTTAATATTCAAAAAGGCAATCCTAACCTATTTAACAGTACATTATACCAAATTGAAATAATATACATTATTTATAAGTTCTGACTTAATGAGATAAAGTACTGCAGGCAGAACTCACTGTGCCCCAGTCTGTTCAGAGTTGTAACACCAGCTGCAAAAACTGACCTGAGGCCAGTGGTTAAGGTCAAGTTAAGACACCATGAAGCGGGTTAGTTTCAGGGTTAAATGTTTGAATTGTGGGAAATGTCACCTCAAAAACTGGGATTGAAATTACTTTTAACTGATATACAATGTTTGCTACATGCAGCATCTTTAGATTTTCTCTTCCTTCCACTGAGTTGTGTAGCTCAGATATCGAGAGTCTTTCTGGGACGCAGGCTCGATTCAAAACCACCAATCCTCCTGTTGAGGAACAGAACAAGCCAGGCCTCCCGGTGTTGGTCCTGACACACAGTTTAGAGGGCTGGGTTTACGGAGGGATAATAGAAAACGCAATGCGAGGAAAAAATAAATTAAATGAGGACAATGACAGTATGTCAAAAAGAGAGAAAACATATCATGAATGCAGGTTTGAGCTTAAAGCTTGGCTTTGAAAATGTCTGCAGAGAGTTTTATTCCCCCTCTCTCAGCCAGTAAAATGCATTCCACAGTCAAGGTGCATTAAAAGAGGCTGAAGTCTTGTGAATATTTTCCTTTCAACATGTGGTTAGCAGAGAAAGCCGGCCTCGGTAAGTCTTGGCACTCTATAGGGAGAGATCTAACGGGAAGAGAGTGGTATCAATGCCGACCACACTTGGTAGTCATGAGATGATTTGTATGCATGCCTGTAGCCTCGCTTGATGGGGTGAGCATATCTTTGTGAAAACCAGTCGGCTGGTGTTTGTGTGTGTGTGTGAGAAAGAAAGAGAGGTAGTGTGCTGGGCTGTGTGTGTGTGTGGTCTCACCAGGCTGAGGTGTGTGTGTGTCTGACGTAAATTCAGTGCTGTCGGCCAGGTTTTCCACGCTGCCCAGGGCTGTGAAGAGGGCGCGTCCCTCTCTTCCTCCTCCCCGTGGTTTGATTAGCTTCTTCATCCTGTCCGCAATCCAGTTAGATTTCCTACGAGGACACAGAGGACAGGGACCATTTACAAAGAGGAATGAGCTAAGCGTTTGTGTGTGTGTGTGTGTGTGTGTGTGTGTGTGTGTGTGTGTGTGTGTGTGTGTGTGTTTCTTCAGAAAACACTTGGAGGATGCCAAGTGTAACAAGGGCTGCATGTTTTCACAATGAGAATAAAATGGCCCTAAAGGTGCGAGCCAACCGTCATTTATTGTGCCAACGAAAGCACTTTGTACCATGACGTCAAGAAAATCTATTTGTAAATGTTATAGTTCAAATGTCATTACCATATTCATTTGTAGAACTAAGGAGAAAATGCAATTCTATGAGACTTGGATAATTTGTACACAACAATCCTAACTCTTACATTTTCATTTGCGGTACAAACTGCTTACCAATGAAAGACGGGTACGCTTCCTCAGAATGAATTCGGGGTTGAGACTTATGAACTGAGATAGCTGCACCTCAGTTTACCAATTTATTTTCTTATACTGCCGCATCTCTGGAAACAAGCCTTCATGAAAGCGCCACAAGTGGTTTCTTTCTCTTTTTATTGTGTGGTACCACACTGAGGAACAGATTTGATCATGATGCACTCACAAGAAACCAGTGGCTTAGAGATGATAGAAAACACAACGCGAGGGGAAAAAAATCCTCCTCCTCATATAGAGAATCAGCCATCATCCGAAAAAGTGTGTGGGGGGGGGGCTTTTATTAGAAGCTTTTCATTGAAAGGACTATACAAACACATATTACACTGTAACCGCTCTAAAACCTCGACATCTAACAGAACAGATTCTGTATACAAAGTGAAAATGTAGCATATAATCTGAACACAGTTTGAGGCCCCCTTCTAACAATTACTTGTGAACCATAACATATTCAGACTACAAGGTAATCTTGAGAGAGGGAAATGCCACACAAAATACAAAACGGGGGAAATGAAATATCCTGCGTCTCTCAGTCTGGAAGCAAAGGCTTCATAACAATACAAACAATTTGAATGAAAAATCATCATTTAATCCAAATGGTTGCATTGTATTCAGCTCAAGGTCAACACCTTTGATAGGCTGCCACCTCTCAGAGCCCAACAACATGAAGAGAGTGAAGAAGCATAAAACAGTAACCTGAAGGCCAAAGCATTGACATATTTTGTTTTTGGCATGCAGCTATCTCGGTTCATAAGCACTTGCCAACTGTCGTCAGAGTAACGAAAATGTTAAAATGGCAACAATGAATTAAAAACAAATAATCCAAATTAAATCCTGTGTTTGTACGGTTTAGGTTTTGATGGTACCATGACTTGTTGATGCTGGGGTTAAAGTGATGTTACTAATATTTTGTCCACCTATTGGGGTGGACAGAATATAAGAAACACCTTCCAATATAATGCAATAAAATAGAGTAGATTCAATCCTACACAATATTATATTTATTGATATAAATAAGTAAAACATTGTTGTATTCTGACTAAAAACTTAATTTAATTCCATCATTATTAACCTTGTTTGAACTAAACTCTATTTATCTGTACAATTCCTTTAAAATGTTGTATAAATTCATGTTATTTATGCATTTGCACTGCACTGTATTTCTTTTCTTTGTTTAAAGCACTTGAATTGTCTTTGTGTATGTAATGTGCTGTACAAACACATTTGCCTCCCCTTGTCTTCTGCAGGGATATTGTAATGTATAAATGCACAGATGTAGGTGTGTGTGTATTTATATATATTTATATATTTATATACAGTACTTGGCTTTGCTGGATGGAGGTAGCATGCTGGGCTCGAGGACTCGATACTGATCCATAATCTTCTCCACCAATTTCTGCTTCTCCCGACGGAGCTCGCTCAGCTTCTCCCTGAAGAGAAACACATGGAAGCATCAGCTGAGTAGGAAAGTCTGTTTGATTCATTTCATGCATTCATTATCCGTGCAGGTTGATGGGATTATTCTGAAAGTGTGTATGTAACGTGGCTGATGTGCATGAATCAGCTCGTTCCTGTAAACTCACTACTGAGAATTGGAGCTCGCTGTGCTGTTTAAACTGGACTCTTTTTAAACCAGAAGATCAGAAATGAGACTGTGTGTGTGGATGTTAATGTTCACGGGCTGCTGGTGAGCAGAGGGTTCAGGGTTCAAGCTGCGTGTGTGGACAGACATAAAGCAGGACTTTGATGAATAGCCTGTGTGCTGCATAGAAGATGGCTCAGAATAAAAACACTGAACACAAAATTGCTGAAAATATGAGTAGACCGCTTGTTACTGACACACGCAGCTATGAGCGGAACAGATCAGGAAGGTTATAGAGGTGAGCAACGGTCAGTATCGAGGCCCGCGTATATTTTTAGCCATGCTAGCGGCATGAAGGTATGTTGGTCCATCGTTCGATCAGTCCACAGCTTTGCTCCAGACTGTATAACCCTTCAAAGGCTATTCAGTTGTTTTTTTGCAAATACAGTTGAGAGAAGTAACAAAGCAATTTCTGCTTCGAGCATGACAGTTTCACACTGGTTAATGCTTATCTGTTGTTATGGAAAGCTGTTAGGAAGTCCTGCTATACATGCAAGACTACATTGCTAAAAAACAAAAAACAGATCTTCATGTAGTAGTATACTTCAAGTAACTGACAGGCTACTTTTTATGATACTATGTTACCTTATTTATTTATATATCAAACACAGAAAGCTCTTAAATCTGTTGTTTTTGGCCAAGGCAGATATTCGTGATCCCCAGAGGATGAAGCCTACTGATGATCCCCTGACTTCTCCTCTTGCGCCCCCATGAGGCTCATATTTGTTGTTTTGAGAGAAATATCTCAAACACTATTGGATTGATTGCCATGAATTTTATTCATGTTGCTCTCAGGATGAATTGTAAATAATTTGAGGATAATGACGTTCCAGCTGTGCTTTGTGTTTAGTGCAAATTGGCTAATGCTACCATGCTAACTTGAACTTTTTGGGATTGTCACAGATTCATACATACAATTCAACCATTCTAAGCATTTTAGGAGCACCTGGGGAGCAACTTGCGGTTCAGTGTCTTGCTCAAGGACACTTCGACATGCGGGGATCGAACCACCAACATTGTGATTAAAGGACGACCCCCTCCAGCTCCCGAGCCTCAGCCGCTAAACACGCTAAATTAGGATGCTGAACATAGTAAGCAGTATATCTGCTTAGCATTAACATGTTAGCATGACATTAGCATTTAGCTCAAAGCACCACTGTGCCTTGAATAGCCTCACAGAGACGCTATTGTGGTTTTAGACTCTTCATCTTGTTTTCATATGTCTGATCAGTAAGTCCAGTTTATTGAATGTTTTCCACTGTAATAATGTTGCCATTGGCTCTGGTTATTTCTCTGTCCTTTCTTATAAATCCTCAGTATGTGCATCAGCTACAAACCAAAGCATCTATCTGGCAGCAGATCAGTATCAAATGTATTAAATAAGTTTAGTTTGACAAAGTACTCTTGAAGGCCCGTTCAATTCATTTCATGAAAGCTTACGAGGCCTCCTCACATGTTTGCCCACTGAATTCACAACATTTCCTGCAACATTAAGTTCGGAAGGACAAAGTCACTGCATCATTTGCTCTGTGTCACTCACAACAAAAGTGATTTCGTAAAGCAAACATTTTAAACTGTCTTTTGCACTTACAAAGGTCTGGAATACATTTAGTCAGACACTTCTTCAATGAAAATAAAGAGACGAGACTGACTGAGAAGCAGGAGGCCTAGACGTCTGTGACGTGTCTTTCAATCTGTTGAAAACACTCTCAAAAGTGTTGTGTTTATAAGGTAGCTTATCTTATAAGGTACGCTTAGAACTATTTCCATTAAATCTTAGCCAAACTGGACAAGTGATATTTTGTACATTTCTGTGTTTGGCCATCACATGGCCTAATATGTAGCAGATTAGACTGTTATGTCATCCAGTTTGTGATTTTATCTTTTCATGATGAACTTCCACCCTATTTAGGATCCGAGTGTTAGTTTAGATTAGATTGTCATTCCTTATTAACCACACTACAGTTTACTTGACTCAGGACAGAGACCTGCATTTCCTGCTCAAATAACCTGAACTGCAAGAATAAACACACCAGTTCAAATAAACTACTCTAAAAATGCACTGTAAGCCTTTGGTTCTGAATTTCAGACCTTGGGATGATAATACCTCATCAAATAATTTAGATGGAAAAAATACTGATCAGGGAATCTGTTGAGGTTTCTGTTAAAGCTTTTGGAACAAGCACAAAATCTTTTTGATCTCTGAAGTGGTTTCAAGAGCTAAATCTCAGTGATGTCTACAGAACAGCTCTCTTATTTCAATAACATTAAAATGTTTGTATTAGGTAGGAGTGGAGAGGGCGACACCGGTACGAGTCAGGTTTGATATGGATTCAAGTCTCACTGACACGCTTGAGGTCGCCCCCCGAGGGAGTCAGGAGCAACAGCGGGTCCAGTCTACATCATTAGAAGTGCTTGATATTAGAGATTGTGAGTTTCTAGCTAATTATCTTTTGAACTGAGGGTAGCTGCAGAGTCGGGTGATGACTCTGTGTTCATCACTACAAACAACCCCTTTTACAAATCAACAGTCATTTGATCTATTAACGTAGCTTTACCTCCTTCAGTGCGCCCAATGTTCAGGTGAAAAGATGTAAATTAAACTGGACCTAACAATTATAGTATACAGTTGTATCCCCAGTACCCCTTCCTATTAAAGGCACCCTGTGGTGTTTTCTTCTGGACAAGTTATATTTATGTTTATTGTTTCTCACAGACACGCATTGTGTGTATCCTTAAAGGCCGACCAATGAGTTAAATGCAATTCCTTTTTTTGACATTTTGGAGCCTGCATTTTTCCAATCCATGTTTTCTAGTGTGTTCGTTTCCTCTTGTCTTTTCCTGGTGCATTGCTACGCTTCTTGGTGCATTACTGCCAACTGCAGGCAGGAATATTGCGATTTTGTGTGCTCTTGCCCATACACTCCTGGAAATGACAAGCAAAATGTGAACACACTCACATTGACTCACTTCATATAGCTACTTATGATCAAAAACTCCACAGGGTGCCTTTAACCTTTAGCAACCTAAATGTTACCCTAAAATCCTTCTTAAGATAAAACAATATTTCTCTGTTTTGCGTGAATCACATATACAAATGACACATACTGTTTTTGTGTTTGTTCCAAAGATTCAAAGAAGTGATATGCCACAATAAAGGCTACATCTATAAACTTTTGTTAGTCAAACCCAAGATCCTTCCATCGTGAATACTTAATTATCCTGTTTATCCCATTATCCCAGCATGCACTGAGGATTTGAAACAAACAAACAAAAGGGCAGTCATGCATAGTCAGACGTCCACAGCGCTGTGTCAGTTCTGGAGAATGGTCCGGCTCCACACATTTTCATTCTGCTATCGGGGGTAAAAACGCAATGACTTGATTGTTTTTCTTTAAACCGATGCCCTTGCATAATAGATAGCGGTGATAGCGGAAGGGGAAGAGAATGCCGCTTGAAATACCCGGCCGATGGCAGGTTTATAGCCACAGTCTACATCGGGTGAGTATGAAGAGGAAGGCAGGGGGAGCGAGAGGGATGGTAAATCGGGCACATGCTAACGTTTATTTTTGTTTGTTTGGGTGTTTCGTTAAAATATCAACAATCTTTCTCCCGAGTTGCTGACTCCATCTTTAAAGGCGGCTGCGTGGTAGGCTACTGAACTAAAATGTGCTATTTTTACAGTGACATTTTTCTCACTTATTTAAGAAAAACTAATGAAACCGTGGTGAATAAAAATTTGTTTTTAAGAATAAAAGCTTTAAATTAAGCTGCAAAAAGATTTAATTTGTGAGAAATGTGTCTCATTACACTTAACAGGTGAAACCAGCCCTGCATGCTCCCTATTAGTTCTGGATTAATCTGATTAGTCTGGTTATCATTTTAAAGGACGACTGCAAAGTGTTGTTGTACTGTGAAATTGTTGTCTCGCAGTCTCAAATCTCTACATAAGTGCTTTTATGTCCTGGATATGTATACAGACTGTGTTACCGCCTACAATGTTAACAAATAGTGTTTTCTGTAACACACATTACTTAAGTTTAATTTGAACAACAGTGTTAAATGTCTTCTTGTGAGGAAACCTGATTTCCTCTTCAATATGCTTCTGTTTTCAGTAATTCTGTTTTGTTAGTAATTCCAAACAAAATAAGGTGTGTGTGTGTGTGTGTGTGTGTGTACTGACTGGTACTCCCTCTGCTGTGAGTAGTGCTGGTCTCGGCGCTCCAGGCTCTGCTCCAGTAAGGCCCGGTTCTGCTCTGCTAAGTGTCGGTTCTCCTCCTCCATGTTCCCCTTCAGCTGAGTCAACAGCTACACACACGAGACAATAAGTGTCAATCACAATAATTAATTTGGTAAGATACAAATATTTAGTTTTTGTGTGTGTGTTAGGGCACAGATAGCCATCAATGTAGACAAGAATAGCAAATGTGAAAGAGAGAAAACACACAATGGACCTGCAGAAATATTTATACAGGTTAATTTAGAAATAATTGAAAAGTAGTCAGCAGTATTGAATGTTGCATCTTTAAATCTTAAATACTTTTTATAGTGTGTTAAGATGTCAAAAGCAACCGAACAAGATACAAAGAGACCCAATTGTTGGTGACTGAATAGCTCGTGCATTGGTGCTGCAATCTTGTTTAATGAAACCTGACAAAACTGTGAAGCAAAAGGTCAGAGCTCAGCAGCACTAAATGACTGAAAGGCAGTCTCATAAATGAACAAAGATGCTGTTCAAGGCAGAGTTAACGTCAAAATCTAACACACAAAACCACATCATCTATGAATGGAATTACTTTGTGAAAGAAGTTAAAAACAGGTGATCCTTCTTAACATCTGAACACAGTTTAGAATATTTTAAACTTTACAAGAAGTTACGGCTGCACCTTTACATGAACATCTTTCACAATTTCCTATTTGTAATTCTGTTTCCAATTATTTTTGCCTTTCATAGCCACAGTCCTGTTTAATCCCCTGCAGCACCATCAGTTAGCACAGCTGCTGCAACAGGTTAATTGCGAGACCAAACAGTCTCCAAACGTAACTTTTCCTTTTGATCAAACCGAAGCCTTGCTACCTCTCCACTTCTCTACAAAACACTGTAATGAGAAGCCTGGGTGTCTGGTTCCCAGGATCAAAACCTAACTACCTGCAGTGCAACACATTCTTTTTTTTTTTTGTTGCGTTAATCAGAATCAGAATAAAGTTTATTGCCAAGTGGGTTTTCACTTACAAGGAATTTGCCTTAGTGTTTGGTGGATACAATGAATATATTCAGAAAAAATAATGCAATACAGGCAAAGTACTGCATAAAGTCAAGAACATACATTTAAAATACAAAAGTTACAATACAAATATGAAGAGACCAATTAAAGAATCAAACCATTGCAGCTGGGTTTTCCCCGCACCGCCAAATCGGGCCAGGAGCGTATTACGGGGGGGGGGGGGTGGGGGGGTAATGGCCCCTTCCCCACTTCCTACCCCTCTACTTCAAGTGACCTTGCTCTGACCACACCCATCTCCGAACCTCGCCTTCATTTTGATCTCAACTACTCACCTGTAAAGTTACAGCATGTTGCACGGTTGCGTTGCTATGATTAGCAAGTGTAAAAATGTCTATTTGACATTTTATAGATGATTATGAAAACTGTGGTGCAACCAACTTACAATAATCCAGAGAACTGGTCTACGCATGTCTTGAATGCTGCAGGGATTTTGTGTATCTGCTTCTTCTTGTACAACATTTCTTCACATCTATCTGCAAACCAGAACTCCTGTACCAGCTTTTGATTCAGGGTTCATGAGCAGCTGGATGCAGCAGCATAACGTAAGATCTGCTTGTTGACTTCTTAAACCCTTTACAGGAAGTCAATTTCCACCTGTTTCGCCCCTCAAACGACTGGAAACTTTGCTGGTTGAAGAACATTTTCAATATTCAGCGCTCGTTTGACAGCATTGCACAGAAGAGTAAAGCTGTTCTGGAGGCAAAGATGGTTCAACTCTTTATTCACTACTTGGTATTCAGTTTCAGTTTGGCCCAATATATAATTTTTCTGACTTGGTAATCTGAAATTTTCTTTTTATATCAAGCTGTTCCTCAATGACCACAACTATTGACAATTCTCTTTAAAACCTGCAAATCAGACCTAATACATTTGGTTTATTATGCCCAATAATCTTTAGACTAAATCTATTATTTTATACAAAGAGGGTAATGTATTAGGGTGTCTGTGAAGCACTAAATCCCTTTTTTGCATGTCAATGGTCAGCTGGCAGCTTGAATACAGAACACCTGTGTTTATCTGCAGGTGTGTAAATACATTTCAGTTTAATACCTGGTACTGGCTGGTGAGGCGGGCGCTGCTGATGTCCAGGCTCTGGTTGGTTTCCCTCAGGCCGCTGAGTTCCCCCTCCAGTCGTGTCCGTTCCAGCTGCGAGTTGCTCAGCTCGGCCCTGAGCACCGAGCCCTGAGCCAGCAGCTCCGCCTGTGACGCCAACCCCTCCTTCTGCTGGGCCTGCAGCCTGAAACACCGACACACAGCCGGGCTTTACTCACCGCTGTCACTGTTATTTGTCCTGTGAAGTGTTGCGTGTCATTTGTTTGGTACGTGCTCTTTAACTGAAGCTCATCACTATATTACATTATGATCACAGAGCCAGAAAACAACCAACAAATAAATCTGATGATATCTCAGACAGGTTGAAGAACACATGATGGGATCAGTCGGTGGTTTTAGATCATTGCTTGAAAAACATACAGCTAAGCAGTTTGCTTTGTTTAGTTTTGTAGTAAGAACTACAATGAGTGTGGATGAAACTCTTAATGGTCACTGTGGGGGAAATTTGGTAATATCTAGTAATTAAACATCGAACATTTTATGCTCCCAATGTGGATTAAAAATATTTTGGAGTGAAACTTTTTTTGTTAAAGTTAAAACTGAGCATGGCTCAGCATTAAACAAATCGGCCTTTACATTTGTTATGTATAATGCAAGCAAATAGTAAAACAATGAGCCTGTGGTGACCTCTTCAAATGTTTTTGTTTTGTCCAACCAATGGTCCAAAACCCCAAATTAATAGGGTTGCAATCATCGAAGACAAAAAATAAAATGAACAGATTTTTTGGCCACATAGTGGCAGCAGAAACGAGTTGTGAACATTGACGTAATTAGGTTTTTATTGTGTACGTGTTAGCGAACAGTTGCTTATTTATACATCCAGCAGCTACTGAGCAACATTACCATTCATATAGAGTCGTATTTCTGTCCTGCTGATTAGTATAAGTCCAATATTAACTTCTCTTTTTTGGTTTCCACCAACTCCTCCAATACTTTGCTCTTTAGCTGCTTAATTCTCCACTATGTTCACCAGCTAGTCCCTATCTGTATCTGTCTGCTGAGCAGGGAGTGTACAGTGGGATTTAGAGTTTGTATTATTGAAAACAGCTGCGTGCTGCAGTCGATGCTGTGAAAGGGACCCAGAACAGTAACGTTGCTGCTGGACGACTAAACAATGAGCTGAAACGCACTATAAATCTCCGTAGAGCCGAGAGGAGCTGCATATATAAAGGTGATAATTCTTTGTAAGTGTATCACTACCACCATTATTGTCACATTTTTTTCACTTTGTCATTTGATTCCTTATTATTATGACAATACTGATTGTCACTTTGAAAAAATGAATGAAATTCAGCAAGAACATTATATTAATAAACAGGTCTAAGGACGTATTTTATATGTTACTAATGTATTTTCGATCATGTTTCATCTGTCAACCAGGAGGAGGAGTCCATCCTGTTTCTAGAGTAATCAATCACATCATTATGACAGTGATTATGAATCATTATGGTACACAAGTATCTTATAATGATGACGATCATCATCATTATATACCACCACCCTGTAGATGAGATGTAATCAGACCCTCCAGCAAGACTGGTCTGTGGCTTAAATACACACACGTGATCAAGATAATAAAAATCTAATGAATTCATATCTTGTGTCTAAAAGCCTTAAATGTTCTGCTTTTGGATGATTTGGAACTGAGGTTATAAAATATCCAAACAAACCTACATGTTTTTGTTCTTGTTGTCTTGAGCCACTTAAGTCTGTGCTGCTGTTTTGTACCCAAAAGCTTTCAGGATCAAATCAAAATGCATTCTGTGCATTCATAAAGTACATTTGTATTCAAACCAATTCCTGTGTTGCTCCCTGTGCTTCATATAGAAACATTAATGCTGCTGCTCCTTCATAGTCAAGGCAACATGCATGCGCTAAGAGGAGAGGAGAAAAGGGATGAGCAGATCTCATTACCTTGATACTGATTGGTGAGTGTATTCGTTACCTCTCGTTGTCTTCTTTCAGCCTGTCCAGCTCTCGTTCCCTCTCAAGTCTCCTCTGGGCCTCTGCTTCCATCTCCTTTCTCTCCATCTTCACCTCCAGCTCTCTCTCATCCAGCTGGGATTTTCCGTCCAAGAGCTCCTTGTACCTTGAGATTACAAACACAGAAAACGTAGAAACAATGATGTCATAAAATGTATGACAGAAACGGAGAGAGAGTGTGTGTCTTCAAAGGTTGTGTAGTTGGATTTGTGTGTATATTTTTGTTCTTGGTTGGACTAAAAGTCCTCACAAGGATGGAAGAAGACATTAGGGTCTAATTGAATGCAGTCAGTGTGTGTTTGTACCTGGCCTCCAGCTCCCGGTGCTGAGCCTCCAGGCTGCGGTTGTTGCCCCTCAGCTGAGAGTGTTTGTCCAGCAGCTCCTCCAGCTCCACCTCCTGCCGCTGCTGGAGAGCAGTCATCCGATCGTGGTCCCGCCTCAGAGCCTCCATCCTGGCCACCGACTCCTCGCGCTCCCGCGCCCACACCTTGGACTCTGCCTCCAGAGCCGCACAGCGGGCCTCACTCTCACTGCAGCGCGCCAGCACTGCTGCATGCTGGGAGCTTAGGGATGCTTGCTCCACCTGTGTGTGTTTTAAAACAGAGAAATAAGACCAAGACCAAGCAACAGACAAACAGACACTGTCATAAACAGAGCCATGCCACTAGCAAAGCAAAGAATATGGTGTCTCCCTACATTAACGCAGTCTGGGAGTCAAACAACGTAATATATCCTTTAGCTATGTCCAAATTCAATGCAAGGGTCTCATGATCAAAATGTGTCCATTAGTCTTAATTTAAGTAAACCAAAGGATTAATTGATAGTAGTCCAATATGCTCCTTTAATCCCAAATTGAGTAAATCATTTCAGATATAATAACGTTCTCCATCTGTGTGTTTGGTCACCTGCAGCTGGGTGTTGAGTGTCTGTAGTCTGGTGCAGGAGTCCTGCAGGCTGAGGGAGTGCCGGCGCAGAGCCTCCAGCTGCTCCTTAAGGTGCTCGCATGCCTCCTGGGACTGAGACAGCCGCGACAGCAAAGCCTCCTGTTCTGCAATCACCACCGCTTTCTGAGGGAGAGAAAAATTTCGTATTGAGATGGTGTCCACAGCCGTGTACAGAGGCATCTGCTTCAGGGCTGTGCGATACCTTTGACGTCACGTGTGCCTCAAAATATCCATATTATTTGTACCTCATTTGCAGCTGAAATTTATAAAGCGCTCAGTCAGGTAGCAGCTTTATGACATTTGAGTCAATGTATAAACACAGATGAATTTCATCTTGTGCTTATGCAGAAATGTACAACATATCAAATATATACTGGTAGTCCACATATGATGTTTGTAATCAAGATATTCTACAAGATTTCAGTGGGTGGAATTTTTGCATGAGTATTTATGATCCAATCAGAAAATCTGCACACGTATTTGTTATTGGCTTGAAGTGTGCTGATTGGAAAATAGGATTGATATATTCAAAATGAATAGACAAAGTCGTATTTTGCAAAATTACTGGAGGAAATCTGGTGTTTTTATGCAAAACAAAAATGAGCTTGAGGCACACCAAAACTCGGCTCAACCCCAACAAAACAATGTGAATTTAAATTGCTGGCGCAGCAACAACTTTTTCATTTCGGATTCTTTCACATTTCCTACAAGCGCCTGACTGAATCATACTGCTACACCGGGGATTACTACTGTTTTCACTGCTCCTTTAGACTTCCTACTTTTCACTTCACCGTTTTCCCTTTTCACGTCAGTAGTGGAAAGTATACTTTTTACGTACTTTCTACTTTTAATCCATAACATTTCAGAGCCAGTAAAATGTGCCTTAATGCATCAGTATTAATAATCTAATAGTAAATCAATCCCAGCATGTTCTTCTACTTTTAATTTCAGCACATTCGTCTAATAATACTTTTGAACTTTTTGTACTTGTAATCTCCTTACAGCTCGATGTTAGAGTTTATGTGTGTGTCTATGTGTGTTTGAGACAGAGAGAGAGAGAAAGTAAGAGCTAGAGCAAGAGAGCAGCAGAAGAGATAAGGAAGATTAACAGTAGCCGAGGTGACATTATAAAAACTGATGAGCAGAGATAAAGTGGTAGTCCTGGAAATAAAGTGCTGCACTCGTGGAAGTGGCGGCCTACTGTGAATTGGTAGTCTTCAAGCATCCCCAGAGCAAGAATTTCAACATAATATAGATCATCTCCATCACGCAGGAGCTGAACCGAACCAAGCAGACATCCAGAAAATCCCACTCACATCACTAACAAACATGTATTTAAACACAGATACACACCTCTCTTTCCAGCTCTATCAACTGCTCACTCAGCTGCCTCTCTGTCTCTCCTGTGGCATAACCATGGGTCAAGGAAAGATCACGACCTTTGCCAGCTGCAGGGGATTGATCCAGATGTGACGTCTCCTGGGTGTGTGTCTGAGAAATGTGTGCTTTGTCTGAGGAGTCTGAATTTGAATTGGACGTAGTGTCCACCTCCACACTTCCTCTTCTCTTTTCCAAGTGGAGAAGAGATTCACTTTTCTTAAGGCTCTGGCAGAGCGACTCTATTCTCTCCTGTGATTGGTTGAGAGAACCGGTTGTCGTCTTTAGTTCAGCCTCAGCTTTCTGTAGTTTCTGGCACAGACGTTCGACTTCAGTGGACAGTTTCTGGGAACGTTCCTGCTCATTGGAAAGGTCCTGATAAGAGAGAGATAAGAAGCAATGCAGCGCTCAAAGATTAGAATCTGAGGAAAATAAAACAGTGATCTACATCAAAGACAAATCAAAAGCATAAATGCATGCATGACTAATTTTACTCAGAAGAGTTTGTTGGTCAATACATTCCTAAAAGAACCAATCTGTATATGATCACTTTAATACTATAGTTGTTGCCTAATTCCATACTGCATACTAATTATATACAGTAAGAATAATTGTAATGCTCACAGTATAAGTTAATAGTTAGTAGACAAGAAATTAATGTATACTTTTTCCAGTGTGGAGTAAGCTTTTTGGACATTTATTAATCATCATTTTTGCGTCGTCACTGACAGATGTAGAGTTGCACCACAGTATTTAGCATGTATGCATTTTTGGATTGTCAGCAGAAAATAGTGTTTTCGTTCCAGTGTGGGAATTCATAAAGACACTATACAGTGCATACATTTCACACTCAGGAAAACACACTTCCAACCTGTGAGCAGAGTCTCCATTTCACATGTGCTTTGCATGAAGGTACAATAGTGTCCATCAACAAAACACAGAAAGATCCAGCAAACTTGGTATGGAAATTGCATTCTTTGAGAATACTGACTTTTGTCCCTTTTCCTGTATGAACACACTGCATTCGTATGCAGAACAAACATAGAACCATTAAAGGATGGACTATTACTATAAATGTATATCAACAGTTTATAGAAGGATGTTCTGCTGTCTAGATAAGGTGAGAAAGTGTGGATGAGTTTACCCTCCACTACATCCCCGCAGTCAGTGAGTAAACTACCACGTCACAGCTACAGCACACACACACACACACACAAACCTGGGACAGTGAATTAATCTTGGCCTGAGCATCTGCATACTGCTCCTGCAGCTGCTGTTTACCCTCCTCCATGCTGGTTAATCGAGTGCTGAACTCCTTCTCAAGGTCCTGTAGCCGAGTGCAGAGCTCCTTGGATTCAGACAGCTGCTGACACACACGGCTGCGCGCACAGACACACACAGACACACACACAGCAGCATGGGTCAGACACAGGTTGAATGAGGATAGAGTTGACATTAAAGATAAATACATAGTGCAGCCAAGTAGCTCTCTCTGATGCCTTGTAAAGTTAATTGCGTACCTCAGCTTGTGATCGGGGTTAAGTGTGTGAACAGGAGTGTGTGTGTGTGTGTGTGTGTGTGTGTGTGTGTGTGTGTACCTGTGTTCAGCGTCCAGGCCCCGAGCTCTCTGGTTGCTGTGTTCCAGAGCCAGGGTTGTGCTCTCCAGCTGCTGCCTCAGCCTCGCTGCCTCTCTCTCTCTCTGCCTCCCTTCCTTCCGTTGGCTGTCCAGCTCCGACTGACACAGCTCCTTCTCCTGCTCCAGCCTTGACGCCTCCAGCAGCGCCTGGTCTCGCGCCCGGGCCAGAGATTCGGCCTCCACAGTTGCCTCACGGAGCTCTGCCTGCAGCTCCTCTTCCCGACGACGAGAAGTCTCCAAACTCCGACCTTGTCGTTCCACCTCTGCCCTGAGAGTCTGAGAGGAGAGCTCTAGCTGGTCACTCTGGAAAAGAGACAAGATGGATGATTAATGCTAATTGATTCTCCACTTTGGATTAGAGACTTTTATTAATGACCAGAAGTGAAACTAGTTTGGTCAAATATGCACAGTGTCAATTAATGAAACACAAATCAGACAGGTCACAACAGACAACTTATGACAGATATTATAACACTAACACACAAACTAGCACATGCTCCAAGAGGACATTACTGTAGCTCAGGACACTGTCTAACCACAGACTTTTAAAAAACTATGTAATTTATAAATGAGAGGCCAAACAACAAGTGATGATAGAGGAAGTAATCAGATCCTTTACTCAGGTAAAAGTAGCAATTCCACAGTACGAAAAATACCCCATTAAGAGTAACAGTCCTGCATTAAAAATTGTAAAAGTAGACAAGTATTAAGTACCTCACGCAGGTGACAGAATGCATATTCCTGTCAATAGTTTCACTTTATTCCTCTGATCTACAGGTGGAAGAAACGTGCCCAAAAACTCAGCAATGTGCCAAAAAAGAAAGGAAAGCTTGCAAACGTGGATGTAAACAATAAAGTATTATCAGCTTCAGTATGTTACAAAAATAATTTGCAAATGTTTTATATGGAAGAAAGTGCATTCAACACATTAGTTAAAGTTCAAGGATACACACAAAGTGTTTGGTGAGTTACACTAAATGTAAAGATGACTCCACGGGGAACTTTTAATTTTACTTTAAGGATTCAATCAATCTTTGTGTCATTATTCTGCATTAAGTGATATTTGTTTTTTTCCAAAGTTACATGGGATCATATAGCTAGATGGCGTAATATCAGAACACATTAATTGGAAACTGCCTATTTCAGACAGTAGAAACATGTACAGTACTGTTTAGGTTAGTTGATGTCCAGACACAATATCTACAATAAAGAGTGGATTTTGTCTTATAAAAAGAGGGCAGGTAATACAGTGGCATATTACAACATCAGAAGGAGAATTAAGTACAACTCTCTCTGAATGGGAGGTACTCACAAATCCCTTTTATGGTATTTCTTTAATGCTGACTTAGCACTGCTCTTCCCCTTAGCTTGCAATTTCTCTGATGTCTTGCAATTTTACTGCAAATAGCACATTAAATACATAATTCCATTTTTTTCAGAAGATCTCAAAGACGTCTACATCCTGCAAAGAGTGTCCCAAATATTAGATTTTTTGTTTGGTTTTTCATGTAGGGAAATGCACTAAATAAATTGTGCCAACACCTTTGATATGTTTCATGTCAATATGTGAAATTCACAGTTCAAAACAGACTCTATCTCGCAAAACTGTGTGTATGAAAACATTGTTTCATTCTCAGCTTGAATCATCAGCTTCACTTCATGCTGTCAAATCCAACTCCCGCTGAGCAGTTTCTCGATGCAATAATATAATTATACTGCAGATATAAATGCAAGACAAAACACAATCATTTGGGAAGCGGAGCCCCTATCTAAAGTAATGTATTTAATGTAACCAAGTAAGTATCTAAAGAGATTACAGAATATTAAGATCAGCTATTAAAAATATAATACATTTTTGTTACTGGGGGCTTGTGTTACATCACAAAAACTCTGCTCCCTTTAATTTGGTTTGTACTTTTCTTCATGTATTTCCCTGCCATTCATCCAACTCCCCTGAAGTAATATGACATCTGTCATGGTCATGAAAATGTTTGGTGTCACAGCTGCATCGTGTGTTTGTGTGTTTGTGCATGTGTACTCTTCAACCTTGCGCTGGGCGGTGCGCTGGGCGGTGCGCAGGGCGTCCATGGTGCTGCGTAGTGTGTCCCTGTCTCTCTCCAGTGCAGCCCGCTCTCCCTCCAGGGTGGCGATGACCGTGGTCTGCATCCTGTGAAGCTCTGCTTGGCTCCGCAGGCGGCAGAGCTCCTCCTCCATAACCAGACCCTCGGACTGAAGACCCTGCGAACACGACGGGAGGATATTGAGCTGGGGAACTATCTATTAATACAGACGTCTGTATGTATCCATTTTAAACTCGCTTGATGGACAAGGTTTCATTTTATGGGTCACGTAGTTCGCTATAATTTCTAAGAAAGGAACTCGTATATAATTGTCAAAGAATGTAACTTGAAGCTTATTATAGAGAAACGTAGCGCGTTCGATTGGTAAACAATCCAATTAATTAATTTCAATAAATCGCGAGCAAAACCAGGAATTTCATCATCTGGGGTCATTGAATATTTTCATCAGATTTCATGGCAATCAGTCCAATATTTGTTGCGATATTTCAGTCTGAACCAAAATGGTGGAAAATCATCAGACTGCCATCGCCATCTGTAGAGCGATGCCACTAGCATGTCTAAAAACAAAGTCACTCCTCTTTAGATCAACAACCTTATAAATACTAAAATGAATCCATGTAGCTGCCTTCTGAATTGTTCTATGAATTATTACATAAATATCAACACTTGCCACAATATATCTTAAATGTATCCATTAAACCAACCAAATATCCATGATCTTAACATCTCTAGTAGCACATTTTCTTCCACCCATACATCTACCCACCAAAACCCCATCCATCCATCCATTTATCCGTTCATCCATTCATCCGTCCACCCACCCGTCCATCCGTCCATCCACCCACCCACCCA